ATAGCTTTAATGTCTTTTAAGTTGTCACATTCAATAATTGGCAAAATCATACACCACCTTCAAAAGTTTAAAAAAAAAAAAAAAATCTATACCGATTTTTTTATCTATTCATCATAATTGCATACAATGTGATGACAAGTTGAGAGGAAAGGTTATTTTTAGAATCTACACAGTCACTCATTGTAAAACTTTGTATCTACAGAAGAGAAAATGCCATTTGTTTTCACATCTGTAAATTCTTAAGCCGTCACAATGATCTGTAAGTCAGATCTGAAAAATATCAACTAGAACTTTCATAGTTCTACATCTGAGCAGTTTAGCGATCCAAGTTGGATGATAAGCGCGAAGACTTAGCAGAAAACAGGGACGATGCCTTCTTTAACGTCCGACTCATTTTAAAAAGAAGCAATGATAAATGTAAGATTATTCTTCAGCATCTTTTGACTTTAATAAACAACACAAAAGAAATTTGCCAAGATGCCATATTCATTTATTATAAAAACCCCTGGAACTGCTCCAAGCTTCTGATGATACTTCCCTTACTACTTGTTTAGATTAGCAGACATTTTACATATCCAATAAAAGGTTCAGTAGAAAGTTTCTGATCAATTTCATATTAAGACTTCATTGCTTCAACTTCACAAAATTGACATAAAACCTCTCTGTGCATTCTTCTTGTCCTTAGACATGATTTGAAAAACATGGTGTCTTCAAGCTCAGCATTTTTGGGGGTTTCTTTCTCCATTTACATAATTTAACTTCCAAGATGAAAGGATAATCTTAACAACAATGGCGTGCTCGTATTCAAGAGAACATGTCAATGAGGAAGTATAATTATTCCAAAAAATATGTAACACCCTTCACACGTACTACCTATACAAAAAAAAAATCAGAATTTGCCATAATAACAGCTTCCAATACTTCTACAGCCATTTTAATCCTTAAGGATTCTTATATTGTGGAAGAAATTAAGTATTGTGCCTGTGAAGATGTCAGAACATGCCGATCTTGTATGACACATTCCCCCAACGTTTGCTTCTTTTGACACATATTTCTCAAATTTGATCGTAAAAAATGAATGAAACAAAGGACATAAATCCTTTTTTTTAACCTTTAACACAGTTATATCACCTTGACAGACAAGTTTTAACTTTGCCATCTGTTGTACTTGGGTGTCTTCTTATGGGCTACTCAAAGAAATCAGTGCTATATCTACACTTAGGAAATCAACTAAAATAATTGTATTTATAAGCATTACTATGAAATTGAATATAAGCAAGAGAAAAATTTCAACAGCTCCAATACAGCATATTTAGTGTTTTCTTCTCAAGATTACTTCATGCGGATCAAGAAGAACTTGGTATAACTATCCAATCAATAACAGATATTGACAGGTTATGTAATGATGACATGAAATGGACAATATCATGTCAGAATGCTTACATAATTTGCAGGCAGTGGTACACTATCAGTTTTATATTCATATTATAGGTCAATTGGGGTTGAAAAGGTTAAAAGGAACAATTTACAACTTCAACTTTTTGTCTAATAATGAGGTTTATCTAGGACCTTCACAAAACTGATGGTTGATTTAAAATAATTTTACAGACACAATCTCAAATCATTTATTCCATAGTTTGGAACCAAAAACCTTATATTACTTAAGTTTAATTTGTGCTTCACACAAATTTGCATGTTAAAAAGACAAATGATCTATTTAACACACCATAAATTTCCCTGACAATACATAATCCAATGAGATGTCCTTGAATACCAGAAAGATTCTTTGAAATGGCTGTATCAAAGAGGTAACTTAAGTACACAGTCTATCTTAAATATCCCAATATATCATATACAATAAAGGTTTGATAAATGTCAAGAACATAAATTTTCACATCAGCTTAATTTACGAGTTGATTTATTTTTAAAAAATTTTCAGCAATAGATTGGAAATACATCGTACATCACGAATTTCAAAATGCCCCAAGGTCGGTTACAGAATAATTTTTTTATTTCACTATCATGTGTTTATATTAATATAATACAAGTATATATATATAATAAGCAACATTTTTGCACCAAAAAATTGGTAATAAAAAAAATCAAAACTCAAATGATACTTTCAAGGACTGATGGTCTGTAGATGATATGTGTCATGACTCAGCAAGTAAAGATTATTTTTGTCCCTATATTCTTCTAGCAATGTAACACCTTGCTTTCCAACAAATAACACAAATCCAGTTTGATTGTTCATCATTTTATTCTAATTCTTAACATTATAAGTAATTGATTAAATGTCTCTCAAAACACCTTGCACTATTGTATAACGAGAGGCCCATGGGTCACAGCACTCACCTGAGTAACTTGAGTCCTGTTGTTCTTCTTCAGATTTTAAAAAGATTTTTATATACCCACGAAAAAGTGTGACCCCATATTTTGGCCCCACTTTAACTCTAATGGTCTTTGAATCCACACAACATGGGGATGCTTCAATATCAATATGACTAACATGACCTTAAGGTTATAAAGTAGAAAATTCTTTTCCTGTATACATACATTATGTAAAATGTGATCCCTATTTTACCCAACTTTAATCAAGGGTTCATAATTCAAAAGAAATGAATCAACACAACTTGGTCTTTTAGAATTTTTCTCTTATAGAGTCCCATGTAAAACTTTGATCCCCACCCTACCCCTGGAGGCCTTGATTTGACCAGTTTAGAATCTACTTTATATTTGAAAGCTTTCACAAAAGTTTCAACTTTTCAGGTCCAGTAATTCTTGAAAAAAAGATTTTTTTTAATCCTATTAAACATTGACCCCTATAACTGTGGCTCCATCCTTCCCCTCGGGGTAATAATATGAACAATTTAGAATCTACACCACCTCAAGAAGCTTTCACATAAGTTTTATCTCTTCTGGCCCAGTGGTTCTGGAGAAGAAGAATTTTGAAATTTTTATGCCCCCGGATCGAAAGATCCCGGGGGTATATTGTTTTTGTCCTGTCTGTCTGTCTGTCAGTTGTCAACTTTAACCTAGCCCATAACTATTGCGCTGTCAAGGGTAAGGCTTTAATATTTGACATGAGTGTTCATTATGACCTTTCCATTGGTACAGAAATTTTTTATCATGTGACCTCAACTGTGACCTTTGACCTACATTTGAAAAACTTTAACATTGGCCATAACTATTGCACTGTAGTCTACGTTCCACTCCAGAATTGTGTTACCATCGGGGGCATAGTGTTTCACAAACACATCTTGTTTTTCAATATATTCTCATGTACAATTTCCTCCTATTGTGGCCCCACCTATTCCACAGGGGCCATGATTTGAACAATCTAGAATTTACACTGGGGCCTTATGTGCCAGCGGGCACAAAGAGGATAGGTGTGAGGTGAGAATTTACACTATAATGTCTTGGAGCTTTCATATAAGTTTCATCATTTGAAAACAGGACTGAAAATAACCCGGAGAGTCATCATAGTAACTTCTGATTACATCACAACTAAAAATGACTGAAGACTTTGTTCATATATATGTGGTCACATTGTTCTTGAATAACTATAATCCTCATTGTTGAACCTGAACTTTAATACAAGTGGTTGCAAAATGTACAACTACTTTTAAATGGCACTTGCATCTCTACAGGTTTGGCTTGCAATTCAGTTCACATAGGTCAAATCAGGAAGGGAATAGAAAACAATGACAGTGCCACAGTTGAATATATCATCTGTTTTATAAAAAAAAAAAGGATCCTAAAACTTTTTCAAGCTGTAAAAAAAAAAACTGGTAGCAAGAGAGTTTGGCACAAACTATATATTTCTTTTAAGTTTCTGAAGGACTTTAAAAAATTCCTTTCATGATTGTATGCTTTGGTTTGGTTTGGACATATCATATTTTCATTAAATTTTACAAATGAGATTTGGCAAAAGTTCTAAACTTTTATGTCCTTTCCCCACATGTGAAATATATTAAACATTTTTTTTCATGATCGTATGATTCATATTGCCTTAGTAATTTTGTAAAACTGAAGAAAAGGGAAAAAAAAAAAAATCCAACAAAACCCTATAATTTCACAACTACCAGTACTAGTTTCAGATAAACAGTGTGCAATTCATGTAGTATAATTATATACATAATTCAAGCATTGATGTTTTTCTGTTTCCCCAATGAAAATGTCATTTTCAGAATGCGAATAATGCTTGGTTTGAGTGTAAGTTTTATCTACAAACTAGCAAAACAGAAGTTGTGAAGAATAAATCCACAGATCTATTCTCCCTATTGTCAGCTTTTCTGGCACAAAATTAGTGGAAACAGTGTTGTTTCCACTTAATATTAGAGAGTGTCTTTTACTTAGCATGATCAAGACGTCAAATTAGAAGTATTTACGTTAATTACTTGTAATTCTTTTTAAACTCAGACCAGAAAATTGCACCTAAAAACTTGCATTGATGGTACATATTTTGTAAGTAATTCGTGACAAATTAAAAGCATGCGTCCCGGATTACTTAATTTGTTCCTACCGTCTGTCTCCAAAAACTGATGCTGCAAAGAGTATGGCTTAAGTCGTCAAAAAACCACACTGAAACTGCCCTATTGTAGTTAGTGTAAAATTATCACCAGAGCCTTGGATCACCACAAGAGATTAATGTAAAATATGACTCCATAGTCCATGATTCAGAATGAACATTTATTTAGGCCAATTAATTTCCCATTTCAAATGTTAGCTGCCATATATGTCTTTAAAAAGTATTTAAGCAAGCGATGTAATATTTGATTTCAACCTAATGACCAAAAATTGCTGCCTATTAAAATGTTTTATTACAAAAATATCGTTTTTGAAAATGTCAATGATTTAACAACTTCAAAACTGCAAATTCAGCCTACTTATAATTGGCCATGATAAAGAAATATCCCTCATAAAAAATATTACCGTATTGTTTTTTTTTCCTGCAAAATTAAGTATTTCACTTAACACACAAAGTTATAATCACTTACTTAAAGGAAAAGTGAAAACATGAATCTGTCCTCAGGCCATGATTCAGAAATCAGATTCAGTGAGGAACCTCTGAAACAGTACAATATAAACTCATTTAATTCTAACTCTAAGTGTTTCATTTTGAAAAGGTTTGGTGGTGCAGGGAAAAAATACAAGTAATACTGAAAGTACTGAAAGTTATCTTAACATTTCTATATGAAAATGACTTTAACTAATAAGCTTTAGTTAAAGATTACTTTTCTCTGTTTTTACATTATAAATTTGATGTTAAAAACTTTATACCATTCAGATTTTTGAGAGCTAAATTTCTTCTTATTACCTAAAATGGCAGGTGACAATGTTATATCCTGAAATGTCCTTCTTGTATGGATCAATGCACTTGTGGGAGTCTGTACACTAAAATGTAATAATGAATCAAGTGAAAAGCAAATCAATTATAAATATGTTTTTCAGATAGATATATATATATATATATATATATATATATATATATATATATATATATATATATATATATATATATATATATATATATATATATATATATATATATACACACACACACACACACACACACACTGTGGTAATTGTAGAATATTTTTTATTGAAATTAACCAAACATTACATATTAATATTAATATCAGATAAGTATACCAATTTAAAGGGTCAAAGGTCATCATCCTTGGTGCAAAAATATTAGGGTATCACCTTGCAAATTAATATAATGACAGTGATTTATATGTATGATATGTAATAGTTATTGCATAAACCTAAAGGGATATAGATGAACTGGAATACATACATGTATTGAAAACATGCTTTTGGATCAAAATAGAAGTTTTTTTCTTCAGAAAAATAAATTATTCATAAATAAACCCATTTAAAACATCCTCTAATCATGTTTATTAAACAAGAAAAGATTATTAACAGATGGGAGGAAGACATAAAAACAGAAAGGGCAATGTTTTTTCAACTAGATTATACAAGTCCACATGAAAGCCCAGCTATGGGCTACACTTGTAAAGGAGAATCAAGAAATAGGAGACTAAAAGTAGCAGAAAAATCAAGGTCAAATCACAAATTAAGGCAAGCTTTACCTCCTAGCAAGATGAACCTGTGTTATAAGTTATGTCATGCCCTACCAGGGATTTTTTTAGGGTCTCTCCGGGGCCGAAATTCGGCCCCATTCCCAATGCTGAAAAGTGCATGTTTTTCCCAAAATCATACCTAAAAATTCCCAATATCAAAAAAAAGTATTAAGTTGTGAATTATTAAAATAAAACAATGACAGAAAGGTGTTTATGTTCTCTATGTGCGACGTACGAGCCATCCGAGGACCTCCGAGAAGTTATTCGGAATACTATGGATGTTTGCATACATAATTTTTAAAGCGGGATCGATGTTTCAAAATTAAAGTCGGGATCGTTATCTAAAAAATAAACGTTCGTCATGTCAGTCTCTCCAGTTTGCCTAGGACGGTAATTTTCAGGCTGAGTTGAATCGCTCTTATTCTTATAAATTGGTCAAACAATACCGATTAACCACTCATTTGGAACAAACCCACTATCAAATGTTATTTTAAAGAACTTCTTACATAAAGGTAAAAAAGATGACAACGTATAAATATGTTCATTTACAATGTTATCATACCCTGCGGCTTTGCCATTTTTAAGCTTCTGAACTTCAACAGCCGCTATTATTTCATATCACTAAAGCTGGTTTAAGCCAGCTTCATACTATAAAAAATAAGAAGAATGATTAAATATTTGACTTTTGTTTTTTCCTATTTATTTGTATGAAGATATTTTTCCCAATTTCAACCAAATATCGCTATTTTTCCTAATCTTGATGGCCCCGGCCCCTGGAATCAAGGGGTAAAAAAATCCCTGCCTACTCATTGATTAGGAATTAAAAGAAAGTCAACTAAAATAGTTAGAATAACTAGAATAGATAAGGTCAGCACAGTTGAGATGCTCCCTACAAGATAACTCTCTTTGTAGGAGGTAATTCAACGTAATCATTTAGGGTATTGAAAAAAACACAGAAAAGAAAATGTCAGATGAAGGTCAAAAGAGAAGACAAAAGTAATACATGTATATAGGTAATATAAATTGTTCCAATGAGATGTTCATGTATATGTGTGAATGAAGATTGTTCCACATATTCATTCAAACGAGATAAATAAATGAATTCAAGAAAAATTGAGGTCAAGGTCACATGAAAGGTCAAGGTGATTACATCTACAGAAAGTTGAAATGGCTTCCCAATATGTAAGTGTGTTGAAAGTTGAATGAAGATATTCCAAATAACTTTGCTTAATGAGAATTTTGAGACTACGATTGTCAATATGACAGATGGACTGTACTACCCATGGGCTGTAACAGTCACCCGAGTAGCATTAGTTTTCTCAGGCACTGACCAACTCAGTCCCACCTGAAACTGGAACTGTGATCCCTATGTGATATTAATTTTACAACCCTGGACCCTTAACTTTAATCATCACATTTCATAAGCTAAAGTCTCATACTATAAAAAGTAAAGAAGATTTTCTCAAATTTAATGCATTTTAAATATTTGTGAGATCAACATGTTAACAATTTTGCAACAGTGCTAACTGCTCATTGCATGTATAATTTACTTGAAATCTTGGAGTACAGAAAAAGAAAGGACATGAATTTCACAATTTTGCTACTGTTCATTAAAGTCATGTAAACAGTTTGCCTGCTAAATGTCAATAAGTAAGAGGATTCCCTTTATGACCATCGTAGCCCCTCCCTGGGGCCTGCTTTGTGTTTACCCAAGGGACATAATTTCCTTATTCTAGTAGAGGATTAGCTGCTTATTATAGTCATGCAAGCAGTGTGCCTGCTAATCCATAGTTTAAAAAAAAACTTTCAGAAAGTAAAATAAATTTTGATGGATTTTGCTGAACCCTTTCAGCTAAAGACTGGGGGGGAGGAGGGAGACTAAGGCAGGGACCCATGAGATTCAGTTTTGTTCTCTTCATCAAGCTACAATTAGTTGAAATTGGCTCAGCCATTTTAAAGAAGAAGCTGAAATATTCGGCATTAAAAAAGGGAACAACATGCTATATATCCTGATTACATTATATGAGAAGGCATGGATAAAAAAAAACCTTTTTTACTAAAATTTTCTGAAGTGGTACAAAGCTTAGAGTTACTAAAAAAATCAATTAATTAAATTCTAAAACAATTCCCCAAACTGTTTTGCACTCAAATTAATTGTGTCTTCTGACAGTCCAAATATGCATCGTGTTTCATCAAATAAATTAATGCATTTGACTTTTTTTATCCACTAGGATCACAAGCTCCTGTCAATGGGGGCTGCTGTACATTTGGATATCAAAGTAAGTTTGGGGGTTGATTAAAATCAAACATCATTGAAAAAATTATCCTCATCACCAATAAAAAAGTCACTCTTTTTGCAAAACATTCAAACACATTTTAATAAACAGATTCCTTCATAAAATAGATACTTGTATTATAAATTAGACCAAATTGTTGTTTATTTAATAAAAAATAGTGTATGTGCCCTATAGTTAAAGATCATCCATTATATATTGAATAGACTATAACTGGTATGTCTTCACCATCACTCCCACTTGATCATCTTCATCATTACCTGATATATTCTACAGTACTAATTGTGACTATACATTACTTCCTGTGTATTCACAATTTTAAAACAAATTACTCAATAACACAGAAATTGAGATGTAAACAGAACAACACATTCATTTTGGCAGTTTGACTTGCTCATATTTTCAAAAAAAAAATTTTTGCTGACTAAAAAATAAACATTTTTGCCAGATTTCAAAAACCAATAAATCATTACATGTATGTATCTCTAATTTATCTTATTTTGAAATGATGGATAATTAATATTAATATTTCAAATTCCCCCTGGGGTATACTGAAACATTTACTGGTTTCAAGAGGTCGATTTAAAATCATACAGTTCTTTTTTTTCCAGTTTTATACCCTTGGACGTGAAACATACATTAAAGATTGATTTATATTTTTATTGTTCTTGCTTACTGAAATTTATTGAATTAATATATATATATATATATATATATATATATATATATATATATATATATATATATATATATATATATACATGTATATGCAAGTGCTTTCAAAACCATTTCCAAGTGACTAATGAAATACATTAATTTACTCCTATTTTCCCTTAATTGTGTCATATATAAATAAAACAAAAATGAAAAACAAGTCCAGTTCCATGCCCAAGGACTTTATGTTTGGACAGCAGAGGTCAATCATTTTGACAATTTTCTGCACTTAGTGGACAAGGCAAATTCAAGGGACAACCTTTTCTACAATAAAAATGACATAAATAGCCTAGAACAAGATTGGACATCTTCATTTATGAAACTGTCCATGCAAATGTTTGACTTGTATTTGAGGTTATGTACAAGTGTTAAGGAGAATATTACAAAGAAATGGTCAGCATGTTGACTATATATGCCTAGGTCATAGCAGACTTATTGTCTTTTTTGTTTTCATTTTTTCTCTCTTTCTTTCCCCCCAAATTAAGCAAAACACTTAACATCAAATTTACAAAATGTTAACTCCCAAAGGTATATATATATGTGCATCTATTTTGAACAAATTTTATTGAATAATCAAATGGATTGAAAGCAAGTTCATTTAACTTACTACTTCCTCTAATATTTAATATTACAACAGTTAATATGCAAATTAAATCATAGAAATGCAGTATGCATTTTATTTATGAAAGTTCATAGCAATTATTTAAACTTATTATTATCATCCTTCTGTACATTCATTAAGCAAGTTATACTGGACCGGGGGGGGGGGGGGGGGGGTTATAAATGCTACTATACAAATTTGCAAAGGTGTCTGCAAGGTTGCATGGTAAAAAGAAACTAAAGGTCAAACTGCTGAAAGAAAAAAAAATTGTTTCTGTGGCTGAACAGCAATATGATACCAAAGATATAATCACATTCTCTAAATCTTGCCGCTACCTGAATAAGTTAATTACTCAATAATCAATAGAATTAACTAGTAAAAAATAATGGCACTGATTTAATTTACAAGTTTTTCTTGAGAAAAAAAAATCAATAGCCATAATTTATTGGAAATTCTATTTAGATCTTCTAAACAGACTCTTTATTCATCTGGTTAAAAATACAATGGCTTGATTCACACAAGCCTTACTTAAGATTATAATTTCAGTCCATGATCAAGATACTAAATGTATATATATGTACAATGTCTTATCATATTTGATTTAAAAACATCTGTTTAAAATCCCATATCCTCTTTGATGTAAATCTATTTGTTCAGATAAAGTTACTAATCAAATTAAAACATACTTAAGTTTACATTTGGCCTCAGGGATTAAAATGTTTGCTTTCACAGTTCAGAACTAAGAAGGAAAAAGGATGTTTATAAGTAAGTTGACTTTACAATTCTTTCACACAACACTTATCTATTTACTTATAAAGACCCTTCCTTTTTGAAGACTTGAATGTGTTAATCTTTACAGCAGTGGAAAATTGAGTACATATGCTCTGAAGCTACAGATAACTTTGGAGTTAACTACCACTTCTTATACAAGACAACGTGGAACAATTTTTTAACCCCATCTTTTTAAATATCATTATTATACATCATTAACACCTTGATTCTACTATTTCTTACTTTCATTCAACAATTCCAACAGAAGAAATAAAAATGACATTACTGCAAAACATATTTTTCTGGGGTTTTTTCATTAGTTACTACCTTAAATGGTCATTTGTTAATGTATGGCTTTGTCAGTAACATTTTTTACAACATGCTTTGGTTCCTATAGTTGTTAAAACTAATTAAAAGCTGGAAAATTTTTAAATTGATGATTATGATGATAATGATGATGAAAATGATGATTACAAAAAAGCTTGCTGTGTATACAGAAAATTAGATACAAGGATACATATTTTCGGAAACTAGGGACACTCATTGTTTCTAGAGATCTATACTAATTTAAAAGAAAAGTAAATCATTTTCACATTGCTTGTCACTTAATTACTGTAGATTCCTAAATATAGGTGAGGAATTAATTATCGCGTAAATACGCGAGACGCACCACTCGCGAAATAAAATTACTCACTTTTATTTTTATTGGGCTGAAATCCATGTAAAATCTCTTGATCAATCGGCCACTCACAAATTATTGTTCTCGCGATTTGGCAGCAAAGAGCCATTTCGCGATATTAAGTACTCGCATAAATAAGGAATCTACAGTACTAGCTCAAATCAGAAAGATTTTTTTTTTTAACAATTTCAAGTTTCAAGTTTTTTGAGAAAACTTGAAACCAGATAATGATCCAGTTTCTATTAAAATTATGAAATATTTTAATCGAATTGATGACACATTTGAAAATGCTTATAGGTATTAGGTGGAAGGTGAGATATACCTCCTGTAATGACATTCATTATGGTAATTTTCATGGAAAGGGGGGTGGGTGGGTTGTCCTTTTTGGATTTTAACACAAATACATGTTTTGGAAAAAAAAAATATTTAAACAAAATAAATATCATGGCATTGCATATACTGGTTTATGCAAAATAAATAAATAAATACAAAAGGGATTTAAGTAAAGGAAAACTTACTAAGTCTGCATGATGTTTATTATTTTGCATTGGAATCATTTTGAATGCATATATCATCTGTTAGATAATATTCACATTTGAATGTCTACCCCCCTCCCCCAACCTAGACCCCCTGCCACTCCCATCCCCCTACCTAATAATAGATATGTTTGAAAAATACATTATTCCTCTCCACTTAAGAAGAAATAGACTCTGACCAATGGTCAATATTCATTGATTGATTATGTGTCCACTTAACTTGATATATACATGTATGCAAATTCAGATTAACTGCATAACAGTGTTGGTTTTCTGTTTTAATAAAATGTCTTATCATTTGAAAAGTATTGCTTTTTTAAGAAATAAAAGTGTGTCTGCATCTAGTTATTTTTATAAACAATAATGCACTTCAATATTTAGAAGTCATTTATTTTTCAGCTTTCTTTTTTTTCTTTTTTTTTTTTTTGAAGGCTACTTAAATTGCTCCACTTTTTTTTCAATTGCTGTTTTGTTTACTTCTAAAAAAAAAAAATCAAAACATTCATTGAAAAAGATTTTCTGGAATCCGCCCATATAATGTCACAAAAGTGTGTTCCCAGTCAGCTACTTTTGTTATTCATCAACGGAAAAAATGGACCAGACTGTATTCTTAAATTTCATAATTTAACAAGAACCCATAAACTTTATTATCTAATCAATACCCAAACCATCTCTGAAACTCTAATTTTGTTCAAATACTTGAGTGTCAAACGAGCTCGTTTCCATGGTAATAAAATGACTTATTTTGGAAATCGTCAGCAGTAGCATCTGTTTATGATTTGAAGTTTTATTTAAATGTTGTATTAAGAAGCCCAGCCCCCTTTAGTTCAGACTGGTAGGCGTGAGTTTCGTGTTCATGACATGTGTCAAGCCCCCTGTGAATTGATTTTTCTGGACGAAAACAATAGCCAGTGTAAATTGTAAACATACGGCCCCGTGAATTCCAAGCGATTAAATTCGCATGTCAATTTTAATTTACGAATATACGATACTGAAACACACTGATGATTTCAATCACTGTTAAACTGGGGCAGCGTGAATAAACACACAGTTTATCTGTTGGATACTTACATAAAGACTGGTCAGCTGTTTTTGAGCAGTGGGTTTTTAATCTCAACGTGCTCCCTTCAAACTTCCGCCATTAGTTTACTCAGTCCTAAAGCATCATGGGTAAAGACAAGATGGCGAGTTAGTGTGACGGCTGATGAAGAAGGTAAAGTCGAAGATGTTTTATCAATAGTTTTAATTAAGCAATATATGAAGTGTAATTAATTTACTTTCTTGGATTTTATTTCCGTGACTGGAGTTATTGACATTTAAATTTCTGGTACGTATACACACACTGCAAACGTGAAATCGTTAAATTATCGATCAATCGTAAATTTCTTTTTGTCCATTCGCAGAGTCGGACAGCTTTTATTTAAATTTTAATTTAGCCGTCAATTTGCTTCGGCATATTTCATACGAATCTCGATGAGGCTGCAACCACATCAGTGGCGTAAAGGAGCCATGCTTTTTGGGGGATATTCTATTTTTAACTGTCCGTTGCTTTGAGTTTCTATATCACTTGAAGTTTGTCTAAATTGCTAAATTTAGTTATAAGTTTGCTGTTGGATAAATAATAACGCACTTTAATGTGTGAGGAGGTTGCTAGAGCGCATTATCGTAAAAAAGAACAAAAACAAAAGGCTGTCTTACTGACACTTTCCTTCAAAAATAATTTTGGGAAAATTGATGGAGATGTAACTTTCACTGGAAGGTCAGTATCTGTTTTACGTTTGCAGCGTTGTATCGTAAAGAAAAAAAAAATATTTTACAGACAGAAAAACAAATTGTGTATAGGTCCCCTTTTATTATTAACTTTTCTACATGTCTGCATGAAGGAGATTGGAAGATTTTCTTTCTCCAGGAATTATTCAGACTTTTTAACAGTTAATTGAGTGCATGTGAATTTCTTTGTAATCAACAACACCTTGTCAGTTTTCAGAGAACATGTGTTGTAGCCAATATCACAGTTTTAACCTGTAAACAAGAACAAAATTGATTGAATTTCGGCCTTTGTTCAAACCGCTTCTGCAGTTTTAATTTTGAAACTTGACAGTTGAATGTCACGAGATTGGTTTTTCTTTTGAAATTGATACAGTGGAAAGTATGATGTTCAAGTGTCTGATTACAGATTTAATGAGGAAAAAATCTTTTACAAGAAACTGCTGATTGACATATCTGTTTTTCTACTTAGGCGAATAATAATTGATTGATTTTGTAAATTAATTTGTCAAGCCTTTCTTCTGTCATTGGTCTTTTGTGCAGAACTGTCCTCTGATGTTTAAAAAAAATCCCATTTTAAAATGAAGAGTGGGGATTATCAAAAGTTCACGAAAAGTCTTCCAGAAGGTTTTTATTGGCAGTGTAGGCATTTGACCCATCCCTCTATGATATACAGGTTTATGATCAACCAAAGTCATCTATCAAACTTCATGTAGGATTATAAAAAATGACCAAAGGCCAGAGTATCGATGTAATAATTTGGGAATAAACCTTCTTGTGAATTGACTTCTTTAATGTCTACCACTGGACACTACCTGCCCGTTTTTATGACTGAAAGTTGGACAAAATTCATGTTTTTGTCATTTATCATGTTTTGTGCCACATATAAGTATTTTTGACTGGAAGATATAAAGAAATTTATTGCTATAAAAAATTGCCCCAATTCTGTTGAAGCTGATTTTCTTTGTAGTGATCAACTTTTTCTTTCAAGGCTATTATCAGTTTCTGTCCAATGTTAGCAGTTATCTCTCATGACTTGAGCTGCATGTGTAATTTATCACAAAGCCCAAAAGTTGAACTTGAATTTACATTAAAATATTGAGATCATAACTGATAAGCATTGTTAGAGAACAGTGAATTCAGATAGGGTTATCTCTATGTATTTATTTATAGACAAGGTGATACTTTGGACATTAATTTGTTATAGAACCTACAAGAACTGCATTTGTTTAATTGGCACCATGTGCTGATCATTTCTGTAATCAAAACGCACAGTGAGAGAAAAAAAACGTACAGCTAAAAGTTGTACTTAGAGAAACGAAACAAATGTTTACAACACCAATTTTGACATTTAGAGTTAGTCTTCTAAAGAAGCCAACATGTACAGCTGTTATATTTGAAGGTTAGTTTTTTTTTTATTCTCCCCTTTTTCTTTTTTTCCCCTTCAAATTCCTGAGAGAATGCTTTTCAGGGGATTACTTTATTTGAATCACAGAACTTTACAGCAGTGTACCAATAGCATCTGTTGTATATTAGATGTGAATTCATAATTAATGGCAAGCTGGCAAGGGGGTTTTCTTACTTCTTATAGATAAAATATTGATTCATAATCTAGCAACAATTTGTGAAAAATTTTCTTCTTACATGGGCTGATGAATAAATTATGAGAACGCTGTGTAGTCCATAGTTGAAGACTGCTAAGACTTTGTTCTGTATATAGTGATTGAAACCATATCAAATTTGAACTCATTGAGATGCAAATTAAAGCCCCAATGAAATGAGAAATTGGAAGATAAACAGATTGAAACCATGCTTAGTTTATCAGAATTTCAAATTACATAAAGTCACAACAAGGGTTTAAGTGATTAAGAAAGGCAAATTTATTTTTAGGGTTTTGTTTATAGGTTTCAAAACACCATGAATGATTATTGTGAAATTTAAGTCAAGAGGATTAAAATTACATCATTAGATTTAAAGATTTCAATTGAAAACAAAACATGCTATGTAATAAACACAGAGTCCACAATTTAAGTCAATATAACAACAGTTGGTGGGACTTTTAACACAATTACAGAACACAATAGAGTCCAGTTTTAATTCACAAAATTTGATAATCCTACAATGGAATTTTCAATAGGATTTTTTGAAAGTCATTAAAGTTCACAGATAAAAGAACTGAAAAACATTAATATTAAACTTCTTTGAACTTTTCTCAAAGAAATTAATGTTGTGGCAGCTAGTTGTTTAGACAATGAAATCAATAAAGGCCATGTTGATGGGAATAAAATATTTATGAATCCGATGAAGAAATAAAAAAAAAAAACATTGTTAATAAACTGACAGTATTTTGGTCAGTTTTAAAAAACCATAGAAAGGAACTATGCAATGAAGATCAAAGGTAATTTTTAATATGTATTACATTTATGTTTTAATGAAACATATAAAGGTATGTGTAGGATGGTATTTAATTAGTGTCTTAATTGTTGAATGTTAGTATGTTAGTACAGGTATGAAAAGTGTGGAAATTTATCATTTACCTGAGGGACAAGAGCTGTCAATCATTTTAGTGTAGATGGTTGGGAGACTTAACCTGTTTTAATCACTCGTTGATGGATATTCATAGTGTCTATTGTGCTTTCAGCAGGTAGCTTTCATGGATTTGTAATCAATTGAGATAGCTATCAGAGTGTGAAAATCACCACTTTTTTGGGCAGGTGGGTCCTTTTTTCAACTTTGTCCAATAATTCAAATTATCATGATTATGTTAAGTTAACTCTCGCTCTGTTTTTGTCAGTAGATAAGATTCATAAAATACTAATCAATATCTGATTGAGGTTACTATTAAAAAAGGGAATTGACATTCTGTGAATGTTAAAGGGTGGAATTTTTTTTATACAAATGAAACCAATAATGACACCTTTGGAACTCTTTTGTTAAGAGTTGCAACATTCTTTTTCAATAATTGTACAGCATCAAGGGAATTAATAACACAGTAGTACTTACAAATGAATTTCATTGGATGAAATTAGACCCTGCCCATTCATTTAGTCACTGTTTGTAACTTTTGCTTGATGGCCAGCAGCTAGCTAGGGTTTGCTTGTTAATTAACTGAAAACTAATATCTTGTCAATTATTGATGTATATTCATATTTATGCTGGATGTAAGGTTTTGAGCAAACTGACCACTGAACACTGAGCATTAAAATGCTGCATTAATGAACTTGAAAAATAATTTTTCTTTGCCAAGCAGATTGTGTGTTATTACAAGATATAATATCACGAGACTTGAGATAATAAAAAAAAAACACCAGTAACTATTAGCAGATTTAGTGACTGTGTCTATAAACGCAAATTTTCAAGGCTTTTTTTTCCATTTGTGAACTTAAAGCTGATCTATAAGTTGTGCAAGGTCTGGGACGTGGAAGTGTAGTACATGTAGTAAAGCACTGTTTGATGAAAAGGAAATTGTTTATATTGGAGAATTCATACAATTAGACTTGACAAAGGTAATGTAGCTTTAATTAAATCTTTTGTTTGACTCAATTCAATTTAAAAAAGAAAAAAAAGGAGAAAAATAAAAAAGAAAATTGAAAATTGTTTTGAATGTTAAAATTTAAATTTAGAAATTGTCTTTAAGTCTATTTAAATTGTGTCAAGAATCCATGCATGAGTAAGAAATGTTGCTTTTTTTTTTTTTTTTTTTTTCTTTTTTTTTTTATTGCCCCAGTTATTTTATAGTTGTGATTTCAATATTTTCCCATCCCATTTTTTTTTTTTTTTTTTTTTTTTTTTTTTTTTGGTAAAAATAAAACCTTAACTATAAATGTTTGTAATTTATTTTGGAATGTGTAATTAACATTCATTTTGAAGTTGGCAAGTAGTCATGTTTTATAGCAAGAAGTTAAAACAATTTACAGACTCAGTTCAGCAGCATTGAACAGGTTTAATCTATGTTAAATGTATAAAACTGACTCTGGTTTATTGCAAAACAAATAGCCATCATGTGTTCCCCCACTTCAAAGTGGAGTTTTGGAATATTTCATCAAAATATCTTGAGAAATATTTTTGAGCTTTCTTGAAATTTTAGAGCCTGTATTTCAATATTAGAAAGTCACGAAAGTTTAAAACATTTATTCTGAAAACTGCAAACTTGGGTCCCTAACTTGACTGAGGCAGTGATGTTAAAGAAATGGCTTTCTGCATCTTGCTGCAGATGCAAGAAGGGAAGTAATCCCCTGCAAAATGTTTTCTGTGTCTTCTACAACAATGCTTACAGCTGTTCCTCAGGAGAAATCAAACAAAAAACATATTTTAAAAATAGATTGTGAGGGTTTTATTCATAACACATGTATCAAAAGAGTATATTCAGTAAAATTTTTGACATGAAAATTT